CTGTGGGATGTCAGGGGATATTTTGGGGTGATGGAGGTGGGTGCATGGAGGGGCTCTGCTGGGTGCCAGGGACCTCCCCTCTGTGCCCTGGTGCCCCCCAGCCGGGCAGGGGATGCCCCCCCCCACTGTGACCCACGGCAGACCCTTGGGATCCTTTGGGATCCGGTGAGCCCATGTGGGATCCGCTGTGGCCCCGCACGGCTCTGACCCCATGGCTGGGGGGTTCCAGTGTGGCTGGCATGGAATCCAGTGGGGTCTGTTGGGGGATCCAGCATGACCAGCATGGGATCCGGCTCCCAACAGGATCGTGTGGGATGATCTCTGGGGATCCCTCGTGGGATCCCGCACAAGCAGCCTGGGATCTGGTGCCCGAGGTGATCTCTTTGTGGGCTGTCAGACCCCGGAGCAGGATCCGCAGGCAGATCCCCTGCAATCCAGGGTGGGATCCAGTGCCGGGAGGAGCCCGGGCGTTGCCCAGCGCCCGAGCAGATCCGCTGTGATCTGGTGGAGGGAGCACAATCCCGCTGGGAGCCCCAGGCAGATCCACCGTGACCCGGGGTGGGATCCAGCGGCCGTAGCTCAGTCCGGAGGGAGCCGGTGCCCCACAGGCTCCGCAGCCCCCGGCGCGGGATCCGGCGGCCCAGCAGATCCCCCGCGATCCATCGGCGACGGAGCCCCGGGAGCGGTGCGGCCGTGGCCGGGCGGGGCTGGGGGGCTCAGGGACACCCCTGGTCCCGGCGCCCGGTGCCCACCTTCTCCTGCAGCTTCTCCATCTCCTCTTTGTGTGCCAGCTCCGACTCCTCCAGCACCCGCCGCTGCGCCGTCTCCTTCTTCAGGAACTCGATCTCCCTGCGGGAATCGGTGCGTGGGTACACGGCCCCCCCCCCGGCACTGGGGATACCCCAGGGAGGGGGACCAGGGCAGGGGCATCCTGGGACACCCAGCCCAGTGGGATGATGGAATAGTTGGGGCTGGAAGGGATCTTAAAGATGATCTTATCCCACTCCCTGCCATGGCAGGGACACCTTCCACTAGACCAGGTTACTCCAAGCCCTGTCCAACCTGGCCTTGATGGATTTATGTCACAGGGAAGGTCCCTGCACAGGGAATGGTCCATGCCAAGAGAACAAAGGGTGCCCAGGAAGGATTTGGTGCCCCAGGGATGGGTCTCTATCAAGAGGAAGGTTCCTTCCCAGGGCATGATCCATGATCAGGATGGAGCTGTTTCCCCAGGGAGGAGTCCCTGCCCAGTGGAATGTCCCTGCCCAGGGACAGGGGGTGCCCAGGAAGGATCTGGTGCCCCAAGGGATGTATTTCTGCCCAAGAGACGTTAAGTGCCCAGGGACAAAGGGTGCCCATGAAGGGGTCAGAGCCCCACAAGAGGGTCCACACCAAGGGCATGATCTGTGCCCACGTTATGTGGCTGTGCCCAGGAACAAGGGGTGCCAGGGAAGGATCTGGTTCCTGGGGGACGGATCCATGGCTAGGGGGCAGCTCAGCCCAATGGCACAGTCTGTGCCCAGAGATCAGGGATGCCCAGGGAGGGCCTGGCCCAGCCCAATGTTCCCAGGGACCGGGGTGCCTGAGGAGGGGTCAGTTCCCAGGGGACGGGTCCATGCCCGGGTGGACACGGGGTGCCCAGGGGAGGACGGGCAGGGGGTGGGCGCTGCCCTCACTTCTGCTGGTACTCCTTGATGAGCCGCTTGGCCTTGCTGTACTTGCGCTCCAGGGTCTGGTACTGGGCCTGGGTCTCCTTGAGGTGCTCGTCCACGGCCTGGCACAGGTTCTGGGCCTCCATCCAGTACCCTTCCAGCTTCTCCATCCGCTCCTTGTTCTCCTCCACGCTCTGCTCCAGCTGGGCCTTCTCAGCCCGCCAGCGTGCCTTCTCCTGCTCCAGGCACTGCAGCTGGGGATGGCACAGCATGGCACAGTCAGGGAGCAGGATATGGCACGGCATGGCACAGTCAGGGAGCGGGATATGGCAGAGCATGGCATGGCAGAGTCAGGGATAAGGATATGGCACAGCATGGCACAGTCAGGGAACAGGATATGGCATGGCATGGTGTGGCGTGGCATTACAAATCAGGGAACAGGCATGGCATGGCATGGCACAGCCACGTGGTGTGGCATGGCATGGCACAGCAAGACACAAACAGGGAACAGGCATGACATGGCACAGCCAGGTGACAGGCAGAACACGGCACAGCACGTGCAGGGTAGGGGTGAGAATGTGAGGAATTCAGAGAGGATGGTGGAGATCGAGATCCAGGGGTGCCAGGGGAGATGTCAGGGTGTCCCCCCTACCCCTGGGCAGCCGGGACCCCCAGACCCCCACTCACCTTCCTCTTGAGCTGCTGGATCTCGGCCTCGGTGACAGCGTGTTTGATCTGGAGCTGCGGGAGGAGCCGGTGTGGGCACGGGGTGGGCACACACGTGTGGGCAGCCCCCTCTCCCCCGGCTTCCCCCAGCCCCTCCTCACCTCCTTGAACTTGTGCACCAGCTTCTCGGGGTCCATCTCCACGGGGGACAGCGTGTCCTCGTTCTCGGCCAGCTCGAACACCTCGATGGCCATCTCCCCACCAGGGAACATGGGGCTCATCTCCTCCTCCTCGTCTGTCGCATATTCACCCGTCTGGGGAGGGCACAGGGCACCATTGGCATCCCCACCCGGGGAAATGGCGTCACCGGCCCCATGTCGGGCGGAGGGACCCTGGGTGGGTGGGCGTTGTCCCCTCACCTCCTCGTCGTCCTCGGTGTACTGGGTGTAGCGCTGCTCGATCATCTCCCGCTGCCACCGCTCCTGCTCCAGCGTCTGCTGGATCAGCTGTGCCACCTCGCTCTGC